CGCGTCGCCATCCTTGCTCTCGACGCGGACGCCGACGCGAAAGCCCATCTGCACGAGGCCACCAGCGTCGACGGTGCCGCCCGAGAACTGCCTGCACACAGGGCCCGCTGGAGGCGACGGCGTCGGGACCTTCTCCAGGACGGGCCACGGCTGTTCGAGCGCCTTGGAGTCGGGGCACTTCTCCCAGACTTCCTCGAGGAGCCACTGCCCAATCTCAGCGATGCTGCCAAACGTCCTGCGGCTCTTGGACTTCTTGTTATGAATGTGCATCGCGCACTTGACCGAAAACTCACCACACAACTTGGAACGGTCAGCCTTCGTCATGCTGGCTATCCTGTCGAAAAAGAGGTTCGCGTGGCGAATCATCGTGGCCACAGCGATCACCTGCGGCTTGGCCTCCCCCGAAATCGTCTGGCAGTCAGTGCTCGTGAGGAGGCGGGACTCGTTGCCGCGGCAGTGGTTCTCTGGCGCTACCAAGCACGCCTTCGCGCACGCCACGATGTACTCAGGCGCCTGGGCCAGCGGCACGGATGCCAGCGCCCTGAACACCGACCCTGGCACGTCCCTCCGAAACGTGAGGGTCTTGGAAAACTCCTCCAGCTCTTTGAGGTAGATCGGGTTCGCCCCTCCGCTGAACGCCTTCACGAACGCGCAGAGGTCATGACATTGACCAGCGAGGAACGGCCGCCCCCGTTCCACGTCCCTCGCGATGGCGTCCCAGGACTCGTCAGTGCAGCTCTTGCACTTGGATGCTCGGGCATGTATCTGGAGAAGCGTCTGAAGCTTCGATTGGCACCGCTGTGCGCCGTGGATCAAATTCCCAGCCTCCTGGATGAAGTTGCCGAGGTCGGGGCAGTTGTCGGCGACGCTGGACCTGATGATGGTCCAGACTAAGCCGTTCTCGACCGCCTCGTGGCCAGCGCCATGGGGGGGGCGGGGGGAGGCGCGGACGCGCTGCCTTCGAAGGCGCCCCGTCGGGCGCGACCGAACGCAGCGCCACTGCACCTCCCCCTCCCCCCATGGCTCTGGACGCCTCCTTGTACGTCGGGCTCGCTGCGAAGATCTTGTCCTTCGCCAAGCGGCCGTCGACGCTCAAGTGCACCAGCGACGGGATGGTGTTGCACTCTGCGCCGATCGCGCGGAGGCCCGTGTTGGTGTGGCCGCACGTGAGCGAGAGGTAGCGCAAGTCCTCATCGCGCATGGGCGGGATCATGCCGTCCGAGTTCTGGGCGAGCATGGCTTGGAACGACTGCTCGCGCTTGCGGGTCTCCGCATTGGCGCTGAGCTCGACAGCGATGGCGTTGGACGCCTCGGACCGACGAGCATCCGATCAACCCACGAAAGATATATACATATATATATATAGAGAGAGAGAGAGAGAGAGTGAGGCAGAAGGGGGGAGATGAAGAGAGAAGTGCAGGGAATAGGATTGAGGGAGGCGACGGGCATAGACGGGGCGGTACATGCAAGAGGGGGAGAGAGAGAGAGAGAGAGAGAACATGATAATGAGTATATGAATGGTCCGTAGGAGGTGTGGGTGTAATAGCACGGTGGTGTTGTGGGGAGGGAAGTGGGAGAAGCAGGAGGTGAGGGAGGAGGAGGAGGAGGAGGAGGAAGAGGAGGAGGAGGAGGCGGAGGGGCGAGAGGAGCTCGACGATGATGATGGTGACGATGAGGGTGAGGAGGATGGGAAGAGGAGGAAGAGGAAGAGGAAGAGGAGATGAGAAGGAGGAAGAGGATTGGGGAGGAGGAGGAGAAGGAAACGGAGGAGGAGGGAGGAGGGAGGATGAGGATGAGGATGAGGATGAGGATGAGGATGAGGATGAGGATGAGGATGATGATGATGATGATGATGATGATGATGATGATGATGAGGAGGAGGAGGAGGAGGAGGAGGAGGAGGAGTAGGAAGGGGAGTGGAGGGCGATACTGACCACCCCGAGCAGGAACACGGGACGTCGGGGTTCCCCTCCCCAATTGCCAGCCCACCGTGTTGAAGTCCCCAGGGTCATCACCCCCCAAAAAATATGACATCCTGATCCTCTTTCGCCGAATCTCAAGACTTGTTTTCTGAGGAGGCTACGTCCCAGGGGGTGGTATTCCTCCTCCTTCTCCTCCTCATTCTCCTCCTCCGCCTCCTCCTCCTCCTCTTGCTCCTCCTCCTCCTCCTCCTCCTCCTGCTCTTCCTCATCATCATCCTTGTCCTCCTCCTGCTCGCTCTCATCCTCATCCTTTTCCTCTTCCTCCTCCGCCTCCTCCTTTTCCGTTGCGCGTCGGGCCTCGGCCCAGCTGAACCCAGCACCTGCGATCGTCCCGATGAGCTCGTGGACGTCGAAGGGCTCGACGCCCGCTCCGTAGCGGTTCCCAGTGTCGACGCCCACGTGCTGGGGCTTCGACTGCTCCTTGAACGCCAGGTCGGCGGCCACGAGCTTCGCCAAGATGGCGTCTAGCAGGGCCCGCTTGTTCTGGTGCGCCGAGTCGCCCTCCAGGGCGGCGGCGCACGTGGTGTTGATCCACGCGAAGAGCTCCTTGTGGCCAGCGGCCTCCGCCATCGGAGCTGACCCGCAGCTGGCAGCCCGAAGGGGCAGCCACAATATGAAGCTGAAACAGCTATGGAGCTTCGGCAAAATGACGCGGTGTCTTGCCCCAAACCCACGTGGTTCCGACAGGAACCACAAGATTTTAACCGAAAACGAGTAAGAGACTATCGCAAGAATCGAGCCAGGGGCCCAGGCTGGGCTGCTCAGTAAGTACATAGAGGGGACTTCGCTAACCAGGTTAGCAGAACTTAGAGAAGCAAGTTACCAACCACGTTGTGACCACATGCGAAGCACATGCTACACGCTACTATCCTGACCGCGTAACGTGCCTAACCTACATCCGCGGTTGGGCTAACCTGGTGATTAAACGGGATCTGTAGATTGAGGGGGTTCAGTAACCCGACGATGTAGATATCCCACAGACGGATGCAAATACCCAACATACACATGAGATGTGCTGCTTCCATTCAGTGTACATCGTGAATGTAACAAAGATACTAATGATTTGCATGTACATGTAACCCAACGACCTACATGCTAAAGACGGCGGGGCTCCAAGCAGGGTCGTGCTGGGAAGGGCTGGGGCAGTCCCTCCTGCTTCTCCGGGGTGGCCGTCCCTCCTGCTTCCTCCTTTCCTCCTCCTCCTCCTCCTCCTCCTCCTCCTCCTCCTCCTCCTCCTCCTCCTCCTCCTCTTCCTCTTCCTCCTCCCTCTCCTCCTCCTCATCCTTCTCCTTCGGTGGTGGTGGGAAGGCGCTCCCGGCCGAGGCCGTTCCGTGCCAGGGTCGTGCTGGGAAGGGCTGGGGCAGTCCCTCCTTCGGGCCGGACGAAAGGGGGGTTTCGAGGGGCCCATTGTTCGATGCATGGACGCCTCCCGGCGCCGGGAGGCGCCGGGGAAATCAGCTACGTGAGATGATTCTCAAACCCCCCCTTTGCTATCCCCCCCTTTCGCCCGGCCCGACTCCTGCCTCTCCAGGGTGGCCGGTCCGCGCGGTGGTGGTGGTCGCGCTCGGGGCTGCCCCCTCGGGGCGGTGGTCGCCCTCGGAGTCTTCAGGACGTGTTCTGTGGTTCTTGGGCGCTCTTCTCTCCTCGGGATCTGCTCTTCAGCAGCGGTGCCTCGCCGAGGTCGTCCCGATCGGCGGCTGGAGGTCCCGGTTATGGCCCGAAGGCCAGGACTTCGCGGGGAGCTTCCGGACGGCGACGCTCGGCAGTCGATGGGCCTCCTCTTCTTCGAGCGCTGCTGCCAAGGGGCGCGGTGCAGCCAAGAGGCCGCGGGCCGCGCCCGTCGCAGGGCCGCGCCCGTCGCCCAGGGGAGGGGCCCGAGCAGAGCCGCACCGGTCGATTGGTCTCCTCTCGCGGGCCTCCCACTCCCGGAGGAGTTGGTCGGGGGCAGCGCTCAGGGGGAGCAGGCTCACGGGGGACGTATCGATCCCCCAGCGCCCATTCACCGGCGGCAGTGGCCTGCTGGCCCACCGTGCCCAGGAATGTGCGGTGTCGCCACCTGGGGGCTACCTCCGATGTCTCATGCTCAGCGGGATGAGGAGATCCTCGCCCTGTCTCCGCTGGAGAGGGGCTTCCGTTGCAGGGTTCTGGGAGGGGTGGCGGTGCCCCAGCAGTGTGAGTTGATCGTTCAGAGAAAATCTACGACGGCCCCCGAGTCAAGATATTGAGCCCGTTGTCCTGCACGTCGCGTCCGAAGTGTTTGCGCAGGTCTGGCCGCAGCGAGATGTCTGCGGACGTCTTCGAAGTGTGAGCTTCGGCTGGCTGATTTTGTCTAGCCGCCCTTTGGGACAGAGGATGTTGATGTGCATTCAACCTCGTCAACTCGACTCCCCGAAGAGAAGATTATCCAGTGGTTTTGCACCCCACCTCATGCTCTTCCTCCTCCTCATGACGCTGCTCCCCTTCCTCCTTCGTCTCCTCCCCTCTGCAGAAGGGTTGATTGTGGAGTGTATGCGGCGTCCACATGTTTCAGTTTCATGCCGATTTTCCATTTGCTTCAGCAGGCCCCCTCTACTACTGATCGTTTTACGGAGTTCATCCTCGTCGGTGCGCATTTTCTTTTTGTTGCTGTCTGGGGGTGGACAGCCGCCATGTGTGGTACTAGGCTTGAGCTGCCGACGTTTTCACGTCGCAGCGCGAAAGAGGCAATCATCGCACGCGCGTCTGGGCGAGGCCAGGGCACGGGATCGCGAGCTAACCCGCATGCAGGAGGGAGGGGGGGGACGGGGGAGGAAGGAGCTGCCGACAGGCGTAGTCTATACACAGCTCGCGGAAGTCGCATCTCCGTGTCAGATGGCCCTGGGCTCATGGGTGGCATGCTGGGCACATGCTCAGGCCAGCCCCTGAGCCCTGTGGAGGGGGAGAGCGAGGTGACTTCCCCCTTCCTTCCTCCCACCCCCCTTGCCCCCTCCTCGGATGGTGTTCTAGGGCGCCTGCAGCTGCCCGCCGCCTCGCCGCGAGGTGCTGGTGTGTCACGGCAAGGACGGGGGGCACGTAAGCTGGCCTGCTCCCCCAGCCATGATGAGGAGGATTGGGACAAGTCAACGCATCAGTTAAAGCTGAGCTAGTACAATATCCTGACTGGCACGGGAATCAGTCTACTTGTTTCTCCCCCCTACCGTTCTGATTCGCTCGCCTCCTGCTCCTTTTTCTGGTCACACTCCTCTGCCTCCTTATTCCGCTTGTTCTTCGGATGCAGTTAGTATCATCATGTTATTCCCTTCCTATCCTTTGTGTTCCTTCTGGCCATAATTTCTGCTGCGTGCGAGACATGTCCGATATTCTTGGTCATCAAGAGGTGAGGACATATGGCGTTACATGCCAGACAATCATGCAAACCAATATGAACAATGTGAAGTGGAAGACGAACTATTCCCAAATACATGTGAACGATAATGTAACTATTAGCTTGAAGAAGAGGTAAACCGAGAACGCCCCAGTTGACGCGTATTCACCGTTGCCTTGTCTGGCAAGTATTGGCCAAATCAGTCGAGAAGATTGCCGAGTATATGTACGATTGCTTGTAATACCTTCCCCGACGATCGACCCCGGCACCGCTTATCCAGCTGCCTGCGGCAAACCCCGCCACCGTGTCTGGGTTGTGGCTCAGAGGCCTCATGGTGGTTGGTTGGGATTTCGTGGTTGACCTCTCGGGGGTCTCTTGGAGGCAGTTTTGAAGCCTCTTGGGGGCAGTTTTGGGGCCTCTTGGGGCCTCTTGAGGCCTCTTGAGGCATCTTGGGGGCCTTCTTGGGCTCTTGGGGCCTCCTGGCGCCCTCTCGGGGGAGCAGGCTCGTTCGTGGTCCCCCTCTTAGGCCCCTCTTGGGGCCGTCTTGGGGCAGTTTTGCGCGCCTCTTGGGACCCTCCTGAGCCGTCTTGGCGCCCTCTTGAGGGGCTTTTGGACTGTCTTGGGGCGGTCTTGGGGCCTCTTGGGCCGTCTAAGATTCTCGGGAAGGCGACAAGCCGAGAAGCCTAAAATCTTTCACACGGCCCTCTTGGGAGGCCTCCTGGAGGCCTCTTAGGGCGGTTTGGCGGCCTCTTGGGCCGTCTGGGGGCCGTCTTGACAGCCTTACGCGTCATCCTTGGCCATGGTGCCCCGTTTTCGTGTCGTCTCGGTTGTACTTGAAGCCGACTCGGATGCCATCTTGACCGTCTGGAGGCCGAAATATGATGTTTTACACCCGCGCGCGATGCAGGGAGAGGTTCGGCTAGAGAAACCATGTTGTAAACAAAAAACACCACCAGAGGGTCCACGGGAGCATTCTGGCACGCCCACTTCGCGCAAGCACGGTGCCGGACCATGTGTTTGCATCGAAATGGGCCGCCCGCAGCGTTACGAAGATACCCGCTCTTCGAGCTTCGCTGCGAGAGCCGGAGAGTTGCCTTTCTCCAGGGGGGCCGCGCGAGGGCGCGAAGAGAGTCGCGCGTCCCGCGGCGAGGGAGAAGCGGTCAGGCGACCCGGGCTGAGGGGCAGGCGGAGGAGGCGCAGATTCCGCCCGCAGAGGAGCAGGAGGTCGCGCTGGGAGGTCGCAGGGACCCCCGCGAGACACGGTCGGGGGGGCAGAGACGCTGGACACCTCGCAAGGGGACATCGGCTCACGCCTGAAAAACGGTGCAGACTTAGCTCCTCAGACTTTCTCCGCCTCCTCATCCTCCCTCCCTCTTCGTCTCTTGCTCCTCCCTCTTCGGCTTGCCCCTCTCCTCTGCCTCCTCCCTTCCTTCTCCCATCTCATCCTTCTCCTGCACCGCTCTGGTCGCTCCTGGTGCAAGAGCGGGGGGAGCAGAGCAAATCGGCGCAAAGCACTTTTTCCCTGAGGTCTGCGCGGGCGTCTTGGACTGGCGCCGGATCCCCCTCTCCCTGGCGGCGGCGGAGTAGGCCAGGGGGCGGCGGTGACGACCCCGGCGCCGATCCAAGAAGTCCGTGCGGGCTTTGGACGAGGAAGCCAGAAGAACAATGCTTGAAGACCACAACGATGACGATGACGATGACGATTGCGAAGGCATTACAGCCGGTGCCGCCGACCCTGACGACGACGAAGATGAAATCGAGGGGGGGGGAAGGAAGAGGAGGTGTGGGAGGAGGAGGAAGGGTGGAGGAGGCGGATGAGGGATGAGGAGGGGGGGCTGGACCTCGGACGAGGAAGCCAGACGAACAATGCTTGAAGACCACAACGATGACGATGACGATGACGATCTCCAGAGGTCTCACCTCCGAAGACCTGCGGAGGCCTCCAGAGGCCTCCTGCGCGCGCGGGGGTCTGCCGACGAGGTCAGCATCGGAGGGCCGTCGCCTCTCCGCGCCGCGGGGAGCTTTGCCGTGCGACGGAGGCGGCGTTTGCTCGCGCGCTCCTCCCACACAGCGCAGATGCGCGGGCCGACCCGGAAACTGCGGAGTTGAGAAACAAGCTCGTCGCTATATCCACTGTGTCAAAGGCGCCGGGAGCGCCTGAGCAGTCCGCCGCCATCCGACGACCGCGCAGCAGCGCAAACAGCTATGCTATTGCGGAACAGGCGATGCGCCTCCAGCGCCGCCGGACTCTTGCGCGGGATCCTTTCGCGCACACCGAGGCCGCTCCCGGGGCTTCCTCGGCGCCGGAGCCCTCGGCCTGGGCGGAGGGAGGCCTGCGCGGAGCCTTGGGAGCAGCGCCGCCACGGCGCCCCTGCTCCGAGGAGGACGAGCTCGTGCCCTTCTCGGAGGGGGAGCGGACGGCCAGCGTGCTCCGCAGCCTGCTCGGCAGGCACGACCAGGTCGCCTTCAAGGAGTACGAGTGGAAGCACGGCGTCGCCACCGACGAGGCGGGGATACTGCGGGATCGCGGGGGTCTGCACTGATGGGCCTGTTTTTCACCACCACCACCACCACCATAAGTTGGAGGGGGGAAAGACGAGGAGGAGGAGGAGGAGGTCGAAAGGAAGAGGAGGAAGAAGAGGAGGAGGAGGAGGACGCCCTCCCCCTCCTACTTATGGTGGTGGTGGTGGTGGTGGTGAAAACAAGCCCACCATGCACCGAGGCATCAGGAGGGGAGCCTGCTCCGCCTCCCGAAGACCTCCTCTCCCCGTTGTCGGAGGCAGCGCGGCGGACGAGACGCCCGCGCGCTGGTGGAAGCAGGGCGTCTTCCGTGCCGAGTCCGTGTAGCATCGGGAGCCGGGCAGGTTTTCCTCGAAGGGCCTGGCTGCCGCGGCTGAGAGCCCCTCCGAGAGTCCCTCTCAGCGTCTTCCCGTGATCAGCGGGAGAGGCGTGCCTGCCGCAGGTGTCGTGCTCGGCCTCCCGCCTGCGTTTTGCATGCTCGGGCTGCCCGAGTCCCCGCTGCTGCTGCCGCGGATGAAGTTGGGTCCGCGTGCTTGTGTTACTGAGCTCTGTGAGGGGCCTGGGGCAGGTGTTGAGCGGTGTCGGCTATGGCCGATGAGGCATTGATTGTGACACCCATAGGTATTCGGCCACGCGCAGAAGGGGGGTAGGGGGAGGGGGGAAGGCTTTTTAGAAGCACCCCTGCTTCTCAGACGACGCGGGCCTTCTCTATCCTTCTCTATAGATGTATGGCCGGCGCTTTCTATGAAGCCGCCTCCTTCTAAGACGCCGAACCCCCTCCCCCTACCCCCTTTGTGCGCGCCGCCAAGAGAAGTTGGAGGTGCACCCTGTCGACGTGTACGTTGTATGTTCGAAGGTTCGGGTGCCTCACGCAGCGGGGCATACTTGCACAGTTTGTGTGTGTTGTGTGCTGTGTGCTGTGTGTTGTGTGTTGTGTGTGTTGTGTGCTGTGTGTTGTGTGCTGTGTGTTGTGTGTTGTGTGATGTGTGTTGTGTGTTGTGTGTTGTGTGTTGTGTGTTGTGTGTTGTGTGTTGTGTGTTGTGTGTGGTGTACTGTGTGTTTTGTGTGTTGTGTGTGTTGTGTGTGTGTTCTGTGTGTAATGTGTGTGTGTGTGTGTTGTGTGTTGTGTGTGCTGTGTGTGCTGTGTGTGTTTCGTGTGTTGTGTGTCTGTGTTGTGTGTGTGTTGTGTGTGTTGTGTGTGTGTGTGTCTGTGTGTGCCCAACGTCAGTATTTCATATCCCCTTCCTGGCAATTCCGCCACGGTGCTCAGGAGAGCGCTGCAACAAAGCGTGGCCCTCATTGCTGCCGCCACCGACTCCAGCACCGACGCCATCACGAACGCCCGCGCCGACGCAGCAGATGACGCCAGCACGGTTGTCGGCGCTAAAGCCAGCGACTTCATCAACGCCAGGGCCATCACCGACTGCGGCCCCAGCTTCGACGCTTACGCTAGCACCGGCGCCAGCACCGACGCCAGCATGAATACGCGCGTCGGCGGCGGCACCAGCGCCTATGCCTACGCCGACGCCAGCGACTACGCCAGCACCCGTGCCGCCGCCGCCGATGCCAGCTTCAACGCCGGCTCAGGGAAACGGCTACCATTCTTGCGCACGACGCGGCGATGATCATCAGCACGGCGACGATCTGCATAATGGTGCTCGTGCAGTTGACGAGTGAGTGATACTACTCCAGCAGCTGACGGTGACACTGTTTCGGCGCCAACGCCGTCGCCTACACCTGCACCGTTGCCTTCACCGTTGCCAGCACCAATGCCGACGCCTACATCAGCACCGATGCAAACGCCGTCGCCAGCAGGGACGCCTGCGTCGGCGCCAGCAACAAAGCCAGCGCCGTGGTCATCACCGACGCCTGCTTCGGCACCGACGCCAGCGACTATACCATCAACTTGGACATCACCGACGTCAGCGTCATCGCCGACGCCGGCGATTGCATTAGCTCCAACGCCAGTGTCGAGACGCCAGCTCGACAACCGACGCCTGCGTCGGCACGACGGCCAGCGCCTACGCCAGCACCCATGCCATCACCGACGCCTGCGCCAGCGCCGACGCCTACGCCAGCACCGACGCCTGCATTGACGCCAGCGTGGATGCCTGCATCGAGCTAGCACCAATGCCAGCGCTTACACACGTGCCAAAGCCTGCACTGACGCCAGCAGGAACGCCCACGCCTGCGCTCACCAGCGCCAACGGCAACACCAGCACCGCTGTCATCACCGACTCCAGCATGAACGCTGGCGCCTGCGCCAGCCCCGACGCCAGCATGCAAGCGAGCGATTGCAGTGGCACCAACGCCAGCGTCTACACCTGCGACGGCGCCAACACTGACGCCAACGCGAATATCGGCATCTGCGCCAGCAGTAGCACCAGCGCTCACACCAGCACCGAGGTCATCACCAGCATCAGCAGCTACGCTGGCGCAGCACCGAAACCATCACCGACGCCAGCATCAACGCCAGCGACTATGCCGGTGTCCTTCGTCGCCGTTGTGCCTCCCTTGCCGCCTCTGGTTAGCCTGGCTGGCCGCAGCGCGTCGCCTCGTGTCATCGAGTCCTCCTCGCCGCAGGCTTGTGTTGCTTTTAGTCGTTCGATGTGCGGGTGCATGTTGCGGGCGTGTCCGCAGGACGGGCTCCTGTTGCTCAGCGAGCTTCCAGCGTCCGCTGGCAGGCGCTGCCTTAGAAGTATACTTTTCAGTATTTGGGTATATCTATGTCCTCCTTGTTTTCGTTCTCGTTCGCTTCCTTTCGCTCTCGTTCGTTTCGTTGGCTTCCTTCCTCCCTCTTCCCCTCCTGCTTGCCGCTGTGCGTTTTGTTTTGCATCCTCTTGGCGGCCGTTTGGGCTGCGCGGGGACATTCGCACTGCGCCGTCGCCCCTCTTCTTCCCGTTCTTCTTTCCTCCCCCCTCCCGCGCTTTGTGCGACACGCCGGCGTCCACTCGGCAATGCCTCTGTCCACCTAGTTGTTTTGGCGTTGACCCTGTAGGGTAATCCACAGGTGCCGCCTCAGCCGTTCTATGCAGACTTTGTTGGCGCCGTCCGAGGCCCTGGGAACCACACCAGAGGAGTCATTTACCAGGTTCTCTTGGCAGCCGGAGTGTGGATCACTTCAGGCATTCAACATTTTCCGGCCATTCGCTACGCGAGGGAAACAATCCGCCACGGTGTCTGCGCAGGTGGCGACTATTCGAGGAGACACGGGAGGACGTCACGCGTGACACCTCGGCCTCTCGAAGGCCTTGGGAGCCTGTTGGGTGCCCCTTGGGGGCCTTCTGGCGGCGTTTTGGGGCCTCCAAGGCTTGGGGTTCTCTGGGACCGCTCTTGGGCAATCTTGGGGGAGCCTCCTCGGCCGTCTTGGGGCCCTCTTTAGGGCTCTGTTGGGATTATTGAGGCCGCCTGGGTGGCTTCTTTGGCCGTCTTGAGCTCGCAGATTCCCGAGCAGGTGAGAACTCCAAAAGCTAAACGCCATCAATCTCTTTAGGGAGATCAATGAGTTTAGCCTCTTCGGGCCCTGCTGGAAGCCTGGAAAGCCTCTTCGGCAGTCCTGAGGCCATCTTGGGCCGTCTTTGGGCCCTCTTGGGCTGCCTTGGATGCATCTTGGGCCGTGTCGGAGGCCTTGGTGGCCTGCCTGGACCGTTTGGGAAGGCATTTTGGGCATATTTTGGGCGCATTTCGAGAGCGCCAGGGAGGCGTCGGAACGCCCAGGGGGCTCTGGCAGGGGGGCATGCATGCAGATGGACGCTGGCAGGGGGGAGTGGGGCCCCTCGGAGCTCACGTAGATGATTACAGAAACACTGACAGGCAGCACTGGCAGTCAGGCGATGGCAAACATGGATCAAGGGGGCGTGGATTAGCGACGGGTCCCGTTTCCATTGGGATTCGAGGATTTCCGCCGCCGAGCCAGGCGGCACCGGCCGCATTTTGGGGAGGTCACCTACCCGATCCATGGATTTGGCGACCGCGCGCCAAATCCATGGATCGCTAATCCATTTTTGCGCGCCCCCGAGGGAGGAGGGCCCTTCAGAATTTAGTTACAGAAGCACTGCCAGGCAGCACTGGGCATTCCACCACGCCTCAACGTGTCAGGAGGCACGGCGGCGGATCGAAGACGCCTACAGCGAATCGCCGCCGCCGCCGCTTGCCTATTGGAAGCTAGTGATGTCAGTCTCTTCGGGCACTCCTGGAGGTCAACTTGGAGGCCTCTTGGGCCGTCTTGGAGGCCTCCTGGGCCGTCTTCGGCTATCTTGAGGCCATCTTGGGCCATCTTGAGCCATCCTTTGAGCATCTCGGCCAGTTTTGGAGACGTCTTGGGTCCATGTTGGTCCCTTTCGTGGGAGCATCGTAGCCGTCCTGGAGACCATCTTGGACGTCTTGGAGGCCATTTGGGGTCGTCTGGAGCGGAAAGGCCGACGGCCTGGGAAGTTTACGGGTCCTCATCTCGTGCCGGCGCATTAGCCAGACTTTTTCCCGGAAAGGGCGTCGGCCCAGGGTTCTCTTTTAGTAGGTTTACCCCCGGTTTTGACGGCTGTAGGGCCGGCGAATTTCTTTTGCGATGAATAACGAGGTCGCGTAGGGCCGGCGAATTAACATTTGAGGATGTCTCGAGCGAAACGCTTGTTGTTCAGAATTTGTTGAGGACGTCTCGAGCGAAACGCTTGTTTTGTGTTATAGATTGTCCTCTCCTGGGGACCTGAATTCTGAGGATCTCTCAAGTGGATTGCTTGTTTTCACGTGCCCAGGTCTTGAGGATGTCTCGAGCGAGACGCTTGGTTTCACGCCTCCAGGTGGCCCAGACAGATGTCTAGCATGAGGATTTGTTGAGGATGTCTCGAACCAGAGGCTTGTTTTCACGTGTCCAGGTCGCCCAGGCGGATGTCTAGCATGAGAATGTGTTGAGGATGTCTCGAGCGAGACGCTTGTTTGCACGTGTCCAGGTTGCCCAGGCGGATGTCTAGCATGAGGATGTGCTGACAACGTCTTGAGCGAAACGAGTGTTTTCACATATCCAGGTCGCCCAGGCACAGCACAGCCCTCGGCACGGTACATCAATATCGATACCCTTAGCATTGCGGCCTGGCATGTTGCTTGGCACGTTCCGCGGAGCGTCCCGTGGCGGGTCCCCCTGGCACGTCGCGCGGTGCACGTCCATTGGCACGTTCCGTAGCGCGTCCCCTTGGCACGTCCCGCGGTGCGTGCCCATGGCAGGTCCCCTGGCACGTCGCCTGGCGCGTCCCTTGGGACGTTCCGCGGCGCGTCCTCCTGGCATGTTCCCTCTGTCGATTAGTTCGGGGGCAGCTACCATCTGCTCATGCAGCTCGAGCTTACGATCCAGATCAGTTCGGTGAGGACTCGGATGCCAGGGAGGACTCGATCCACAACGCTATATAGAGCACAATCGCGGCATGGCACATCGCAGTTCAGCACGGCCCAGCACAGCACAGCCGTCGGCACGGTACATCAAGATCGATACACTCAACTATGCACCTTGGCACGTTCCTTGGCGCGTTCCGTGGCGAGTCCACCTGGCACGTCGCGCGGCGCGTCCCCTGGCACGTCCCTCGGCACGTCCATTGGCACGTTCCGTAGCGCGTCCCCTTGGCACGTCCCGCGGTGCGTGCCCATGGCACGTCCCCTGGCACGTCGCCTGGCGCGTCCCTTGGGACGTTCCGCGGCGCGTCCTCCTGGCATGTTCCCTCTGTCGATTAGTTCTGGGGCAGCTACCATCTGCTCAGGCAGCTCGAGCTTACGCTCCAGATCAGTTCGGTGAGGACTCGGATGCCAGGGAGGACTCGATCCACAACGCTATGTAGAGCACAATCGCGGCATGGCACATCGCAGTTCAGCACGGCGTAGCACAGCACAGCCCTTGGCACAGTACATCATCATCGATACATTCAGCATTGGATGTGCCCGTCGCCCAATCAGGTGTCTTTGAAATGTTGCAATGCCTTACATTACTATAGTCCTTTCTGGGTTCGTGAGTCGATCATGCTTCCAGGTAAAATTTTGAAAAGGGCCAACATCATTCTAAGGTCCAGCACGCCGTACACCTCTGTGACAAGCCACAGGCGGCGGGGGCATTGGGCCCATCCCACCACCGTGCTTGGGTTGTTGGCCAGAAGCTTGTTGGATACCTACCAGGGTCTCTGAGGATGCCTCCCAGAGGCGCCTCTTCGGGGCCTCTTGGATGCGTCCTGAAGGCCTCTTTAACGCTTCCGATGGGCTTTTGACGGTTTTTGCGGGCATGCTTGGGGTCTTGGGGGCTACCTTGGAGACAACAGCTCTTGGGCCCATCTTGGGGCCCTCTTGTGGGTATCTCGGGCCGTCTTGAGATGCCTTTTGGACCGTCTCGGGGCCGACATGGGGGTCGTTTGGGGCGATCTCGGGGTAATCTCGGACATCTTTGGGACCCCGAAGCTCGAAAGCGCGAGTACGCCAACATCAAGCAGGAACGATGAGAACAAAAAAAAATACCCAGGAGTTGTTGCTGCCCTTTTGGAGGGCACACAGGGCGTCTTGGGCGATCTTGGGCCGACTCGGGACTCTCTTTCATATTGGTGCCTCTTGGACCGTCTCGGGGCCGTCTTGGGAGCCTCTTGGGGCGATCTCGGGGTCCTCTCGGACATCTTTGGGGCCCTGAAGCTCGAAAGCGCGAGTACGCCACAATTAAGCAGGAACGTCGAGAAGAACAATACGCGGGAGCTTTGTGGGCCATCTGGAGGGCACACAGGGCGTTTGGGGGCGATCTTGGATAGTCTCGGGGGCCTCTTAGGATACTCTTGGCTGGCCTCGGAACCCTCTCCTCTGTCCTCTAGGGAAGTCATGCGGCCAGCCACGGGAGTGCTGCGGGAACCCTTAGAAAGTCTTGGGCCTTCGTACTTCTTGTTGAAGACTGAGGGATCGACGGGACCTGAGGACATCTTACTCAGTGCTTGCGGCACGGTGGCGGATACCTAGGAGACAGGTGGCTTAGCATTCTTGCCCAGTGATTGGTTCTGAGCTGCGCGCGGACTGAGACAGCGATCGGTTGCCTTGGAACGATTTGTTTTGTGTGTATGGGTGTGCGGGTCTGGGTGGGTGGGAGCTGGTGTGCCGTTGGGCGCCATGGAAGCCCACATCGGGTTGGGAAAGCATCCTTGCTGGAGTTACCTCAAGGGGAGGTCAGCGACATCCTCGAGTTCCTCAACGAGCGTTTCTCGGAGCAGCCGGACGAGCCCATGGCGTTCGACCCCGCAGGGGTCGGTGGAGGGCATCGCCTGCCTCCTCTCTCGGCGCCACAAGTATCGCCCACAGCCCAGCGGATACAGATGAACCGGCGAGTTGGTTTTGTCGGGAGATTGGGGGACGGGGTTGGTTGTTTTGAGCTCGTACGACAACATACTCCGCCCACCGCCTCCACAGGCGGATCCGGGCCGACCCCGTGTGGTTGTCCAGAAGGAGCGGGCTGGCGGGACTTGCATCTCGAGCATCGCTCCTCGAGGCGTTATCTTGCTCGTTACCCACAGGCCTCCCTTCGACGCCCTGGGTAGTGTCATGCGCTCTTCATTTTGCAGGAGCGGGGTAGGAGGGAACAGGGATCAGCAGAAGGGCGTGACATGTCGGAGAGGCGGAGGCTGCGCTCCCCCCCCCGCTGCCTCGCAGCGCTCTGCAGGGCCCAGCCTCTGCGGGCGAGCTCTCCGCAGCGGCGCCACCCCGCTGCTTCTGCGTGCGGCGCTTCCGCTGCGCTGCCGCGCCGGCTTCCGCTGCGCTGCCGCAGCTGCTCCGAGCGCCGGGAGGTCTCCGACATCTCCGCGACGCCATCGTGGGAGGACGTGTCCACGCTCCCAGACGCGCCCCCAGAGGCCCTCCCCTGGGAGGGCGCGGCTCGCTCTCCGCGGCAGGTGGTGCTCTTGGGTCGGGGGGGAACAGGCTCAGGGGGGAGACATCGACCTCGAGTCGCCCACTCATCGCCGAAATGCCGACACGGGCCTGACAGCCCACCCCGACCAGGCACGTGCGGATTCGCTTTCGGGGGCCTATCGCACATCAGTCGGCGAGGCACCGCCGGTTCCAGAATCGGCGCTTGCTGGAGAGCCCTGGGCGCTTTACCGGGCGGCCCTGCCCTGTTCGGTGGCTCCATCAGCCAGGTGCTTGTGCCGGAGGCCTTCGCTCGTGTGGGGCGCTTGTTGTGAAGGTGGTTCCTCTGCCCTCCTCTGCCCTGGGCCGGTCCCCCATCAGGGCTCGACCTCTTTGGTGCTGGCGACTTCGTGGGCCGTCTTCGCTTCGACTGTGTCTTGCAGCAAGAGCGAAAGGAACGCACAACGAGGGAAGGCGAAAACAAAACGAAGACGGAAAACACCGTGTACAGTCAACCCGCATAGTAAGGATGGGCAACCTCCCCGGTTACCCTTGCATCCTTGCTTCCTCGGTCTATCATTGGCCGCTTTCGCTGGCCGCGCCCCGCTCGAAAAGCTTCGAGATGGGCGTCCAAGGCCCTTGCATCCTTATCGCGCATCCTTATATACACTGGTTGACTGTAGGTCGAGCATTGGGTTCGTTTGCTCTCTGCTGCTTTGGGCCGGCCCCCCCCGAGCGCTCCCCCCTCGCCCAAGGGGGGCGCCTCGGTCGCCGCGACTCTCCGGCCTGGGCCTTAGAGCCGCGTTTCTCTAGCGTCGGCGGCGCGGAGCCGCGGAGATCAAACCGAAACTACATGTTATAGCCAACCTGAATAATACTCCAGATCCTTCAATAAGCACCCCCCCGTGCCAACCTGTCCGACGGCCCTTGCCCGCCCCCCGACGCTCCCCAAACCCACTCCGTCTCGCTCCCCAATCTCCCCACGCCCCCCGAAGGACAGCTGCTTCCGAACCCCCCACGCGATCCACCCCCCCACGCTTATTGAGAGACCTGGAGTAAGGATGGGCAACCGTCCCAAGGGTAACCCAAGGAAGCCTTTAAGAACCCCCCCGTGATTATTGTTAGCACCGCGCCATGATTTAATATTTCCAGGGGGCCGTTTTCGCAGAGCGATATCTTTAGCACCTCGCACAAATCAAACTATAAATTTCTTGGCGCGTCGCGCGCCGCGCGACGCGCAATAAGAAATCCTTGGGGATGCCTTTGGATATTATGTGCATTTCCTGGGACACGTTACGGACCAGCAAAGGATTGCTTGTGTGTGCGTGTGTGTGTGTGTTGTGTTGTGTGTCCTTGGGACTGCTAAGGATTTCCTATGACATGTGAAGGATTTCCTAGGAAATGCGAAGGACTTCCCAAAGGAATGATATGGATGTCCTAGGACATACTTAGGTTGTCCTAAGACATGCCAGGGATTTCCTAGGAACATCTACGTATTTTGTAGGGAATACGGCGGATGTAATATGAAATGATACGCCTCTGATCCTTCGGGCTATGATTGTCCCCCTCCTCCCCCTCCTCCTCCACCTCCGTCTCCTCCTCCTCTTCCTATGCGATTCCTATTACAACTCCCTTTGAGGAACGGATGCTTTTCGGCCGTCCTAGGGGGTGGCCCATCCCAGGGTATCCCCCCCGCCCCGCACCCCAAGCGTTATCTTAGCATCCGCTAGAAATGATAATACAAAAATAATGCGACCACGATTCGTAATAAGAGGAAGCATACGATATATACATGTACAAGATAGAAGCATGCAGCGGATGAGACTGATAAGAGTAATAACACACCTGATAACACGAATACACATGCAATACGAATAATACTGCGAATAAGTGAAAGAATTCATAACACACATGACAAGATACAGCGAAGTACGAATAGTGTAAACACGATAAAGGATTATAATTACAGTTAAGAGGGGGAAAGGCAATAGTGATTATGAGCTAGTACGATCAGAGTAGGAAGCGTATGATACTAATAATGTTAATACTGATAATGGTACTAAGAAACATGTGAAGGATGAGAATAATATGTCTCATGAAACTAATGATAATTGTGCGAAGGATAATACTCATACTTCTAATGGTACGAGTGGTAACAATAATATACACAGAAGCATGCTGATGCTAATAATACGGGTACTGATACCATAAGTAATGACAACGGTTCGAATGATAACAGCAATGGTAATGTTAATAACTATAAAAATGGTAACGGTACGAATGGTACGAATATTAATACCAAGGGCGATGCTACGAATGATACTTTCATTTGAATTAATGATACTAATAATGATACTACAATGTATGGTGAGTCTGGTAATTATGATACTGTTAATCCGGATAATAACTAATACCGGTACTCATAGTTTAACGGTATTCATAATGATGATGTTGATGCTGATGATGCTGATGCTATTGGTAATAAGGATATGTGTACTAGCCATGATGAAAAGACAAAGGTTAATGGTACTACTTCAAAGAATAATAATGGGACTAATACGAATGAGGGTGGTACGACTGATAATAATAATAATACTAATAATAGTAATAATAATAATAATAATAATAACGTGGGTAACAATGAGCATAATGATAATACGAATCGTATTAAGCTATGCGCTATGAGCTATGGGTGTCCTAAGAGATGCCATGGCATTCCGAAAGAAATGCCAAGGATTTCTTAGGAAATGCTACGGATGTCCTACGACATTATCGGGGGCTCCTAGGACGTGCTAGGGAAATGCCGAGAATTCCGTGGAATTCCTTGGGATTCCTACAACATGCTAAGGATTTCTTAGGAAACGGCTCAGTAGGGCTTAGGGCGAACAGGGCTTAACAAGGCTCAGCAGGGGATAGCAGGTAGCAGCGCTCAGCAGAGCTTTGCAGGGGCTAGCAAGGCTTGGCATGGGCTTAGCAGGGCTCCGAGGGGATTCGCAAGGCTTGACTTAGCAGGGGCGAGCAGGGCTCAGCAGGGGGCGAGCAGGGCTTAGTATTTCTTAGCAGGGGGCTCAGCAGGGGGCCCAGTAGAGCTTAGTGGAGCGAACAGGGCTTAGCAAGGCTCAGCTGGGGATAGTAGCAGGGCTTAGCAACAGTCAGCGGCGCTCAGCAGGGGCTAGCAAGGCTTGGCATGGGCTTAGCAGGGTGCGGCAGTGTTCAGCAGGGGGCGAGCCTGGCTTATCATTGCTTAGCAGGATTTAGCAGGAGCTAGCAGGTCTCAGCAAGGCTTAGCTTGGCCCCGAGTGCTCTTTTGCGGGCTCTTCCGGTGCCGAGGTAACGCTTCCAGGGTGCCAGATGCGTTATATTTTCACCGGATGAGGGGGGGTGCGTGTTGGGGGGGGGGGTTCTTAAAGGCTTCCAGAGGTTACCCTTGCATCCTTGCCGCCTCGGCCCACCCTTGGCCACTTCTGTTGGCCGCGCCCCGCTCGAAAAGCTGCGATGTGGCCTGCCAAGGCCCTCGCGTCCTTATCGCGCATCCTTGCTAGCCTGGTTGACTGTAGTGCTGCGCTGCGCAGGAAGCGCATCTCGCGCGGCCCCTCGCTGCTGGATGGCTTCCCACCTGGGGGGTCGCGCGGCGCGAGGCCCGAAGTCGGGCGGGCCCTCGCGCTCGGGCCTCTTCTGGCCAGGAGGGGAAAAGACACACAGACACAATCCATCGTCGGTTCCCCCAGAAAATGTGAGAAGATGTGGGAAGTGGGGGGGAGACAAACAACCCAGAAAATATGGGAAGATATGGGCGCTCCTGCCATTCGTGTCAATTTTTTCGATCGCTTCGCTCATTCCGCCGGCCCTGGAGCCCTCTTCAGGGCCTCTTGGGAGCCTCTTGGGGACCTTTTGGGAGTCTCTTGGGGCTCCTTGGCGGCGTCTTGGGGGCACTCTTCAGGGCCTCTTGGGAGCCTCTTGGGGACCTTTTGGGAGTCTCTTGGGGCTCCTTGGCGGCGTCGTGGGGGCACCCAGGGCCTCTTGGGGGCCTCTTGGGGGGCTTTGGTAGTCGATTGCGGCTTCCCCCTCGGAGGCCACGATCCTCGTGAGGGTTGTCGAAAAATGGCCCTCCCTGGAGTGCTCTGGGGGCTTCTCCCGGCTAGTTGCCGGGGTACTTTTCGTCCGGGGGCCCCCAGGGGCCGCCCCGCGCGCGCGCGAACTAGAAATATTGTTAACCAGTTGCCAGAGATCTTAGCACGCCTCTGGCCCGTTGGGCCTGCGAGTTTGTGGGTCCCGGGGCCCCTTCGCTTGGGTCCGTGACCGCGCCAGGAGGCCCCCCCTCGGAGGAGAGAGCGGCGCAGCAGCGCTCGTGCCGTGGCGGCCAGCAGCTCAGTCTCGGTGGGCGGTGGGCGATCTGCTGCTTCGGAAGCGGCCGTTCTCCTCCTTCTCCTCCTCCTCCTCTTTTCTCCTCCTCCTCTCTCCTCATCTCTCCTCCTCTCTCCTCTCTCCTCTCTCCTCCTCCTCCTCCTCCTCCTCCTCCTCCTCCTCCTCCTCCCTCCTCCTCCTTCCATCTCATCCTCCTTCTCTACTCCTATCATCTCCTCTCCTCCTTTTCCTCCTCCGCTACTCTCTCTCTCTCTCTCTCTCCCTTTCTCCTCCTCCTCATTCCTCCTCCTCCTCCTCCTCCTCTCCTTCCTCCCTCCTCCTCCTCCTTCCTCTCCTATCCCCCTCTTCCTCCTCTCCTCTCTCTCCTCATCTCCTCCTTCCTCCTCCTCCTCCTCTCCTCCTCCTCCTTCCTCCTCTCCTCCTCTCTCTCCTCCTCCTCTCCTCCTCTCTCTCTCTCTCCCTCTCTCCTCTCTCCTCTCTCCTCTCTCCTCTCTCCTCTCTCCTTCCCCTCCTACTCCTCCTCCTCCTCATCCCTCCTCCTCCTCCTCCTCCTCCTCCTCCTCCTCCTCCTCATCCTCCTGGTTTCCCGCCCGCCTCCCTCCTTCGGCCCCGCTGGCCTGCCCCCCCGTGCCCCAGGCGG